CACACAACTACAAACACAACTACAAAGACACAATCACAAACACATAACCACAAACACACAACCACAACCACACAACCACAAACACACAATCACAAACACAATCACAAACACAAATACAATCACAAACACGACCCACAATCACAAACACAATCACAAACACACAACTACAAACACAACTACAAAGACACAATCACAAACACACAATCACAAACACATAACCACAAACACAAAACCACAAACACACAACTACAAACACAACCACAAACATACACACAACACAAAACCACAAACAAACACACAACACACAACCACAAACACACACACACAAACACACAAACACAAACACACAACCACAAACACACAACCACACAACCACAAACACAACCACAAACACATCCACAAACACAACCACAAACACACAGCCACAACCACAAGTACAAACACACAATCACAAAGACACAACCACAACCACAACCACGACTACAAACACATAATCACAAAGACACAGCCACAACCACAACTACAAACACATAATCACAACCTCTACCACTTCCAGAAACACAACTACAAACACATCCACAAACACACAACCGCAAACACAACTACAAACACACAATCACAAAGACACAACCACAACCACAACTACAAACACACAATCACAAAGACACAACCACAACCACAACTACAAACACACAATCACAACCGCAACCACAACCACAAACACACAACCACAAACACACAACCACAAACACAACCACAAACACAACCACAAACACACAACCACAAACACAACCACAACCACAACACAGCACACAACCACAGCACACAACCCGAGGACCCACAAGCAACATCGAGAACTACAATACTAACGACTATGGCAACATGCTCCTCACTATGGCATCAAGACAAATGATTGAAATGTCATGGTGGGGATCACTCGAAGTAAAGTAGTTGACGTTTCAAGAGTTTTTGGACAGCAGTCACATGCCGTGCCCTTCAACACAATGTCTAGCAGCATTGATCCAAACGAGGCCTTTGCTCCTACAGACATGAGAGAGGATCTGGTGGCCAAAACACGCAGCCCCGATGACCTTCAAAAAGAGACGCCCGCCAAAAGGACCCGGCAAGCCCCGGGACCTTTTGGCGAGTGACTCTTTTTATCATCGTTCCCATTTCGTGCACTTTTTGACTTTTCGCGACTTTTCGCAACTTTTCGACTTTTCGCAACTTTTCGACTTTTCGCGACTTTTCGCAAAAAGTTCGGAGAGCAAGTAGATCCAGCTCACACATTTAGCAACCACAGCAGATTTCTGGGGTGTGGCTTCTTGGTGGATGGATAGCAGGTTACACCCGGGAAGATTTACATGGAACCTGAAAATGGACCTTTGGAAGACGCTAGCTTCCTCCACAAATCAGTTGTATTCAGGTTCCATGTGTGTCTCGGAAACAGGGCGTAGTTCGGTTGTTTTTGACCTTCAATGAGGGAGCCAGAAACAACACTCACACGCCGTGAGTGAACAAAAGGTAGATTGATCTGGTCCTCCGCTCAATATGGCTCACTGCGACAGGAAGGACAGATGCAACACGAGGGCCCGAGTATAGAGTTTGGGGGCATCCTATTACCTGTAACAGTCGATAGACAATTATCACCACTTTAGACTGAGGAAGGCCTGCCTGCAACTGAACCATCCTCATCCACTGGGCCCAGGGAATAGGACACACCCAATATACCCAAATGTAAGTATGATTCCAGGAGGGTAGAGGTGCTGATTGAGGATGTCAGACAGCGTTTGTTCGAGATGTTCCAGGTTGTTCACTTATATTTGCTTGTGTTTTGTTAACTGCTAAGATCAGTCCGCCCACTTAGACCACACAACACGGGTAGCTTCTTCCAGTTCCTTTCAGGTGTGGTCGGTCATCTTGTCATCTTGGTCGGATGTCTTCGAGAAGATGATGAGCCACAACTTGAAAGAAAAAGCAGAGCAAGAAGTGGCCGCTAGGCTGATACTAGCCACTTCAGAACAAAACAAATAGCTGTATTATAGCTATATTATAGAATAGCTTGAGAGTTACTTTTCAGATGGCCTTCCGGTTGAAGTTCAAGAGTCTACTGAGAGAGAGAGAGAGAAAGAGAGAGAACGCTCCATAGCGAAAGTGCAATAGTGCCCTACCCGAATATAGATGCAGCAGTTGATGCACTTGTAGGGAATTTTATATATGTCAAAACAAGGAAAAACTGCACGATGCTACCAGAAAAGTCTCCCTAGATCATTTGCAAAACCCGAGGAGTCTCAAGGTAATCATGTGCCATAACCTATACCAATGACCAGTTCCTTCTTCTCCAAGAAGGTGTGGTTGGAACTAGCTGGTTACATTTAAAAACAATTTCGACCTCTCATACACTGGGTGGCAGTGAGATGTGTCGGCGTCAAGCCACTGCCTACTCCTCAGGTCATTCAAGACTTCTCATCGCACGGAGTGGAGGCGACGACTGGGTGATGGGGTGGTGCCACGGGCTTCCCCCGCTCGCAGGTATGGATGGGTACTTATTATGGGTCCAGAAATCCGACCTTGAAGCAGCAGGTGCAGCAGATCCTCACCCCTTGTTGGTTCTAAGTAGCAAGTAGTGATCTGAAGAGAATAAAGACATCTTCAGAGATCCATTCATCCTTCCTCGCCACAATATGGGGTGGGCGTCAACAAGATTCGCATGATTAACTTTTTCACTGATCAAGCATGTCAAAGCGGGTTCGTCCATGTTTGTCCTGACTGTATGCCCTAAAGTAGCTGCATATGCCCGCATATTTGCCCATTCGTTGGCCTTCCAGCCCGTCACTATATCTTCTCTTTTTGGAGAAGGCTTGTTGTTGTTTTAATGTCCAACGCTATCCCTAGTGTCATTTCTGCTTTCACGTTCTTCTTGACTTTCATCGGTTCGTTGGGACCTCAACAACCGAATCTGTTGAACAGATCTAACATTCATTCTGTTGATCGGCCTGTCCGTGCGGCTGCTTCCACACCGATCCACCAGGCTTTTCTGCGCTTCCTCTACTCCGGGACGTTGGAAGGATCGTTGTCGACACTAGTGGAGGTCGTGGCCATCGCTGACAAGTACCAGGTGTCCAAGCTGTCGCGCCATTGTGCCTTTGACTCAAGTGTCGAAAGGTCACCTTTCCAAGACAGCTGTTGTTTGGGATCATGTAAGTTCTGAAAACATTTTTGTGTGCATGTTAGATCCTACATCGATATATAGCTTTCTTGTTGCTTCCTTGAAGAACACATAATATATACTGGGAGGGGCACCTGAACTGCATTGAACACCTCGCACTGGCAAAGTCATTTGCTGCCCGTCATGAGGTACGTGTGCAAACCTCTTGGCAAGCCTTTTGAAGATAGAGTGGTTCTAGATGGTTCAAGTATATACACTGAAGCATTCACCTCTATATTCAATTTTACATGTAAGTGTTGTCATGTAAGCCGTGACTGCTTTTTTTGCTCGTCATCGGCTTAACATGGTTTGAAGCTATTGTTTGTACATTATTGCTCTAGAATAGATCAATTCGCCGAGTCATTGTGGGCATGTTTCCTGAGACCGCTCACCCAGAAGGGACAGTCGCACGGAACTGATCTCAATGGTTTGATACGAGCTCGGAGTTTCCTCCGAACAAACTGCTTTAGCCGCCACAGACTACTTCTACTCGCATTTTGCGAGGGTCGCTTACCTAGTGCAACACATGGTGACCAAGTCTAGAACGCTTCCATATCAGTTTCAGCACAGTTTTTCGCGCTGGTTGTGACAGCTCAGGCCAAGACGTGCTGGCTGATCAGCTCAGTGCAGAAACTGCATGGAGTATCTTTGAGGCAGCTGACTGCTTTCAACTGGAAGAGCTTCGGGAAGAGTCGTTGCACGCCATCCTCAAAGAGCCCAAGGTAGCTTTGGCCAAGCGACCTTCCAGCGAGACTCTCTTGAACGAAGTCTTGAGCAGTGACTTGCTTTGCATTTCGCACGAGGAGTTGCTGAACCTTCTCGTGAAGTGGGAGGAGGTTGAAGGTTGTGAGAGCCGGATCAATTTCATAGAGAAGTATGTTTCTATGGAAAACATATCCCAAGAGAAGCTTCGTGTCTTGAAGAATGTCGTCGTCGATGATTCCCAGTTCCAGCGTCTCCGGTCGCTGAAGTTGGCGTGCGCACGCAGTGAGTATACAAATGATGCAATTCAACGCATTTTGCAGCACTTTGGCGGTTTCAATGGCGGCATTGACCAAACTCAATCTTTTCTATCAAATTGGGTGAACGTGCTCTACAGTCGGAGCTTCAGTCCTGGGCACATAGTACAGACCGCTTACCAATGTGGTGTATATAGTCGTAAGCTGACAGCCGGGAATTGGTTCGAGTGGCGACTTCCCCACTTTGCTGTCAAGCTTCAAGCACTCCGATTTCCTGTTTCTGATGTTCCAAACGACGAACATGTTTTGTTGTCATGCGGCAGTGACAGCTCGGAGTTGAAGCCGGTGTTCTCCTCCAGAGATCATGGCCATATCTCAAAAGGCCAAGCTATCAAGTGCAGGTGCGACATCCTTGTGCAACGCTTCAGGGTGGAGGTGAGCCAAGGAAGCTTTCATCTTGGCAACATGAAATTTGAAGGCTTCCTGCAGGAGACGGCCGATTGAGACTTGGCGAGTCTTGAAGGGTCTCCCCTCCCGGCCACATTTTTTGTTTTCGTGTTGGAATAGGTGGAAAAAGAGGATCGGCTGCAGCGGAGGAAATTGGGCAGAGGGCAGGTTCTGTTGTCAGAAGTCAACATGTGGCTACAACCTCGCGTATATCCTATATGATGTATGTCTTTCTTGATGGAAGGAACATCTAGAGTTCCATAGATTGCTTGTTTGCGGCAATGATTTTGTTTGCCAGCTGGTGCAGCATTTTCAAGGGACAATACTATATGTTTTGTTTGCGAACGGTGTGAGGAGATCCTCTCAGTCCAAACCGTCAACCGCAGGCACCTGGCACATTTTAGCTGGATGCCCGAAGAGGACCTGGTACTGCAGCAGCGGATGATGTGGTATCCTCGCTTAGAGTCTCACCCAGAAGGTAGATTGTATTGGGAGAACTGTAGGTACTGGAGCAGTACTATTGGCTACTTGCATTGCAGGTAGGTATGTTTGAAGGTATAGGACCTACATTTACCCATGTCTTGCTTGGAGTAGGACATTCTTAGCAGTTCAAGGTAGACTTCAATGTCTTAAATTTGAACGATGGATGTGACCAGAAAGAATATAGGTGCATGTGCGCATGAGGAGGTGCACTTTCGGAAGTTTGATGCCCAACAGACGATGAATTGTAAAGCTGCTTCCTAGCTTGCTGAACTGATGACCTTAGGAGTCCCAGAAAGAATAACAACCCAGGTCTTGAACATGGTTTTCCTCCCCAGGTAATTGATTGCCTTGTCTTTTTATGCATGAGGAAAGGTAAAGCTCGTAGACCTGTTTGGTCACATGTCCACTTTCAAACCTGTTTGGTAGAGATGTTCGGCCATATTCCACCATCTTCCCAGGAGGCAGATGTCAGCCAATCAACTCACCAAGTCAGTCCTTTGCCCGAATTACCTGCGACCTACCAGGGGGCCCCCAAACCATCAAACACCTGGTTTTCTCTGGCAAAACACCTGGTTTTTCTAATGTTTCATGGGAACTGAGGGCCGCTGGTACTCCCAGCTGTGGAGCGTCACGGAGAACCCCGAAGCGATGCGCGAAGGATCTGACGATCTTCGAAGCCTTGAGGGAGCAGCTGACCTTCGTCCCGGGCGATACGCATGATGCCAGGTTCAAGCTGCAGGCGCGAAGGATGTCCTGGGCCACGCAAAACCACGATTCACAGAGGTATTGCAAAACTGTTGTGGAGGTTTAGGAGGCTTTACCTCAGTTCAGCTCATAAAAGGGTGTTCTTATTTGCTTCCACTGAGCAGCAGCAGTCGAGCACTCCGTCCAGACTTTTTGCACCAATCGCAGTGCCCAACTTGCAGGACTGTGCATGACTTTCAGATTAAAGAACTTGGTCGGAATGAAAGAGTATGACCCTGCAGGTGAATGGCCTCATTTTACTGGAGTGGTCATACAAAAATACTAGTCAAGGAGGTTAGGTAGACCAGGTGTTACTGGATCAGACTGGACTTGTAGGGATATACCTCGAAGTCCTTTTGCATCCTGCCTCACTGTTTGTAGCAGACACTTTTTTCCACTTGTTGGACGTGCCAGAAGCCAAAGATGCAATTAAGTGATTAAGTGGGTTGTACAACAGACCTGGAGATTAAACACATTAGATGGATGTGTCTCCACACCACACCGCGATACTCTTGGGGCCCAAGGATTATCATCTGTCGCGACCCCCAAGCTACAGGTTACCATCGTTTCGTGGTTTTGTGGGTCGATAATTTGTATTTTGACCCAATACTCATATGGGTGTGTTTGTGTGTGTATGGGTAAAGAAGCAATTAACCATACTTAAATCTTTCTTCAGAATCTGAATCGTCACATATCATATATATATATATATCATATATATGGGTATAGGGGTGCACACCTTTTCACATGTGTGTCTCATATGTCATTCTTCAGATCATGAAGGGTGTCTCATTCTTCAGAATTTTTGCTGATGACATCCAGGTTTGTCGCCCCTCACGGCGCAGCTGTCGCACAGCAATGGATGCCGTGGGGGTGCCTGGAAAGGGATTCTTAACGCAAGAAATACCCTTTGGATAGCTCAGATAGTCATTCATGGACCTTGAACACTTGGTAGACCAGTATCCTTTCTCACTCAGGGCATTCCATTTGGATCCATTTGGTGTGGAGAGTGAGTGATACGACTACTATCTTCCAAGGCCTCACCTTCAGTCTCGGTCTAGTCAAAAAAACTCACTCAAGGGTCCATGCGTAGATTCTTCGATCAGTTGTAGTGCAAGACTGCCTGAAAAATATGAAAATGAGTTTTCCAAGCCGGAGTTGCCAATTTGTTGTTCTGTAACCAGATATCACTGTAAGCTTAAACGTCTCAGCCTAAGTCGATAGCCATCATCATGGGGTAGGTAGGCCTCAAGCATTGCACCGCATCCCAAGGAAGGACAGAACCATATGCAAACATCGCAGGATCTTTGGAAGCCTTTCTTCAAATCAACACCGCCCTGAGGTCGCTGGCACCAAGTCGCCAGCGCTTCAGCGAGTGGTGGAAGAGCTGTGCCAGAAACTCGACGATCTTGTCTTTGTTCAGTTTCAGGGGGTTGAGGTGGCTCGAAGACCCACAGAGCCATAAATGTTTGCGATCCTTATGATATTGCCTGTTCATGCCAACTTCTGCAAAACAGAGTTTGCATCATATATATATATATGCTTCTCATGTTATGGGTGGCGGTGGCGTTTTAACAACGGGAGGAACGGATGCATCGTAAATAGTAAAGGCGCGACAGTTGGTTGGTCGGGTCTTGCATGTTCGAGTCGCACAGAGCCATCTCAGGGTAGCTTGTGCACTGCGAGGAAGACCCTCGTTCGGAGCGAGACATTTGCCGTGAGGGTGCCAGTTCCAAGTGGCGAACTGATCCAGTACTGCAGCTCACTTGACTGAGTAGGAGAGGCTTAAAGGTTTAAACTTTCACACACTTTTGCAAGTACCCTCATGATGGGCTAACATTGCCAGGAATATCGGGGATTATAGGGGAAAATGTCCTTTGATTCATGTCGAGTTTTTTTGGACTTTTGGGTTGGGGATGTTTGTGGTGCCCAATGGAGGTAACCCCTTTTGGGTGGTCCTGGTGCAGGTGGTACCGGAGTATATTTCTGTTGCGCACCCACACCATTGAGGATCTTCCAGATGGAGCTCCATCGCTGCTGGGTCAACTTGCAGCTCGTTGAATCATGGAGCTCGTGGAGTCGTGTGTTTCAAAGAATGGGCCACAGGGGCATGCCAGACCACCGAAAGGCGAGCAGTTTATTAGCTCCAAGGACTTTTTCGGATGAAAGCTGTCGGATGTAGGGATTTTCGAGAAGTCTGTTTGAAATTGTACGATACCTGAAAGTTTGATCGTAGTTTCGGCGCCTTCAAGCTTGTGAGGGTGGCACTTTTTGTTCAAACAAAAGGAGATTGGGAAGGTGCAACAAAACACCATTTATAAGATCCATTTAGTTCAACAGTCTGTGTGGTTTTGCTACTTCTTTGGCACTGATAGGCCATTGGGCTGACCAATTTGCTGTCCAACCAACTGCAAAGTCAAGGAGCCATGAACTATCGAATCATGTCCTTCCCTTAGCCAACCATTTCAAGTCACCTCGGTGGGCATCAACTTCACACCTTGAAGTCCAAAGTGGTCCGTTTTTAAGGGCAACTTTCCTAAACACGGCGCCTTTGCAAAAGGAGCCTTCTTTTTAGGCGACTTTGTGATTGCCCTCATAAATTACGACAACTTTGGCAAAACCTTTGAAATGCCTTGGATTCTGTCTGATCGGAAAGGCACCCTGGATCACCCTGGCATGTTTTGATTGTTTTCCTTCAAGGCTGCAGGTTGTGATCATGTGCCACAGGTGAAACACATATTCAAGAAGCAGCTGGTGCGTGCCCTATGCCAAGCAGAACAGTAAACCACAAGTTTGCACATATGAAGCTGCTCATACGCAACAACTCTTTATGAGAGGGAGAGATGCATATATATAAACAACATATATGACTTGCCATCTTCCTATAAGCCACCATCATGAAGGCACTCCATGACATGGCACACAGCCGGTGGCCCTGCTCATGAGCACCTGTCGGCCTTGGAGCAACATCGTGTGTGTGGAGGCAGGGGTCACTTTTTTGGGGTGTGGCCTGAGGAACATGCAGGGCATATACATATAGGATAAGCAAAGTCAAACTCAATTGCTGGGATACCGTGCTATGAGACCGTGGCCAAGATGGTTGCCAACGAGCATGTATAAAAGGGATGAAGCCGGAACAAGTCTCATGCTCAAATGAGAAAACAATGGTTTGATCATTTTTGGTCGGTGGCTCTGTAAGTATATGGTTTCCACAGGGCATTTTGATATAAGATTATTTTCAAAACTGGTTGGGGTCTTGTCAATGAGCCGTGTAACCCGGTGCCCTTCTTCTGTGGGCGCTGTGTCTCAGCTGGCTTTCAACTTCCAGTCCTAGCACACTTCAATTATCAGTCCCTCACCATGCCTCACCATCGGTGAGGCACCTTCACTATTTGGTTTCCTATCGATCGAGAAGCTTTTGAGGCGCGGCTGAGCTCACACATGGCATATGGGGCACTTCAACCCCATGCAAACCCAATGCTTGTCAAGAATGGGACCTGCAGTCAAGAAACAACTTTCCAAATCATTGATATCAATTAAGTCCTTTCACTACAATACTGCAATCAATGTGCATGATATACAATACTCAAATATAGAGGATTGTGCCCCCATCATCGCCGCTCGATGCAGGTTCTTCTACACACACGTGCACGCTGACACTTCCAAAGGCTTGGGATGGGCGGTTTGGGGTGGGAATGGATGGGGGTGGCTTCGTGCTCGTGCATCTTTCATGCTTGCACTTCTGCAGCCTTTACTGTGTTGGTTGATCTGTGGTAGACTTTTCTATAGTGCTTCCAGCAATCGCCATGACTGGTGGCGACTTGGGGAAGAAATGGGAGATGATTGGCAGGGTTAGGAACAGATTTCGACGAAATGAGCCATGGATTCGTTTGGCAACAACTGATGACAACGAGGTCGTGGAACGATGCATGAAGTCCTTGTCCTTCAATGTTGAAACCCTCACGACCATCTTTGAGACTTGTGGCTTGACCCGCTTCAAAGTCAAGGTTCTCGAGAAACAGGTCTGGTTTTTGAAGCTGCTACTGCTAACTGTTTATATAGTAAAAAATAGTGAAATTAAACAAGTTTTCTATAGATATATGTGACGTGAGTTGCTCACAGTTGCCCCTTATAGGTGAAGGAGCTCTTTAAACGCATTGGTTACATCCCTGAAGAGCCCAAGCAAGCATGGAAGGATGCCTGGGCCATCCGTCAACTCCTTGCTTACGCCATCAAACGTCAAGCGGACTCAAAACGGAGGAAGCAATCGTGCAGGGTGGCTAGGACAAAAAGTAAAGTTTTGGAAACGATACTTTAATATATGCAACCACAACAAAGGATGCGTCAATAACACATTCCTCTAAACAGCGGACGTGAAAACTATAGGCCCCAAAGAAACCGGCCATGGCTGAGGACCCCAACGTCCAGAAGCTTTTCGACTTGATCAAACGTCTTCGTCGTGATGATGGCAGCAGCGGATCTCCTCCTTCACGCGATGCGGATGAGGGTGACGGGGGTGACGAGAGTGATGGGGAGGACCGGAAGGTGGGTTCAAAGAGAGGCATGCTGGCCAGTGCCCCCAGGAAGGTAAAGGAGAAACACGTTGAGCAGGCTGAGGTGGTCACCACCAAAGCCAAAAAGCAGATTAAGGGTGTGAATCCTGCCCCTGCTATCGAGACCAGACCTCGTACATCATCCAGTTCGGGAAGGTCAAAGGATCAGGTTGAATATGATCTGGTAATGACCGAGATCAAAGAACTGGAAGCTGAACTAGCGTTACTCGCCTGAGCTAATGTGAGTTGTGTTTTTTTTGACTGGCAGATTTGGCACGCCCTCTTCCTAAATCCTCCAAACAAAAACATTGATTGCATTTTGAGGCTTGCTGGTGAAGGCTCCTCGACTGCCTCCCGCAATTTTTGTTTTTTGGTGAAGGGCTTGTACTGTATATGTTATATGCGGGCGTGGCACGTCATATACTACGGGTTCAAAAGAGATGTTCAAAGATAAATCCGATGTTGTTATGCAGCTCTCCGATCTAGGTGGCCCCATCGATGTCATCGAGTTGACAGACAGCCCGGCCGACCCTGCTCGTCCTCCTCTAAAGCGCTGCCGCACCAAGCAGCCTCAGCCAAAGTGTGCATCTGACCAGGCCGTGGGATTCAAAATGGTTATAATGTATCAGTTGTGTACGGACGTGTTTGACTGGCATGCCGCATGCATACCGTGTGAACAGGCATCATTACGGAATACGATATAAGTTTTTTTGCATCCATCTTGCAGGACGAAACGCAGCCTATGGAGAGGACAGCTCATGCTCCCGGTTCTGAAGTCAATGAGCTTCATGTCCCTACTGCGGAAGCAAAGGTTGGACGACTGGCAACAAGTGTTGAAGTAGAGTCACATTTGTGATATATGTCTCATAGGCCATCCCTATATGTCTATATATAGCATTTATTTATGTGTGCTGAAATATAATATACAAACACTATATACAGCTCCCCCTGAGGTTCAACTCAAGGTCACGCCAGAGGACCAATGTGGCTTGCGCAGGAAGCTTGCTCCACAAAAGCGGAGGGGTCGAAAGCCAAAGGGGAAGACCACCACTGTCACGAAGAAATCCAAGACCAAGGACAAAGCTGAGAAAACATCAAAACCGCGGAGCAAGGGCAAGGCCAAGGCTGCGGCCAAGCCTAAGCAAACAAAGAAGAGACCTACCAAGAAGGGCGTGTCACATGATGAACCTCCAGGTGATGAGCACACTGGTTGTCCTGAGCCAGCTGGGAGGAAGAAATGTGAAGCCTTCGAGCGCACATATGGATGTTCTCGGTGCAGGTATGCAGCCAAAGGTTGTAAAACCTGCCGCCAGCCCGGATTCAAACCCCGAGGCCCACGCCAGGAGGTCGCCAAACCTGGACCTGTCGACGTGGATTGATGTGCCCACAATAGTTTTTTTGTGATGGGTCAGGGTAGCTCCACAACTTTTGCTGATGCAGTTCCCTTCCAATATATCATCATACGGCAGTACGTGTTTGGGCTGGGCAACGTCAAATGCACAGCGTGCTCAATCAACACGTTCGTATTTCAATTTTAGCATTGGTGCAGGGAAACCCTTGCACCCGCTGTTGGCAAGCTTAGAGGCGACTTGTTGAGCTTGAGGGGCGCAAGCTCACACATGGCTAGCCATGCTTGGCTTCAGAAGCTCTTGAGGGTCACATGGTGTCAAAACAAAAAACTATAATATATATATATATAGAGATTATTTCTGATATATATATATAATATTAAAGCGCTTTGAAAAGCATATGGTTGTAGAATGGGCCAGGCGGCCAGTGTTTGCTCCAGATGAGTATTAAGGTGAAGCACTTGTTTGCAACTTTGCTGGCCCGGCCAGGCCTCCAGTGCAGCCCAACTTCAGCAATCTCCAAGGACCAAGGCCTGCAAACATGAACTTGCATCGGTCACAGAGCAATCACAAATATAGGGATCGATGACATTATCTTGATCAAGCTTAATGCAACCTGCATACTTTATAACGCAAGGACCGTGATTGAGTGTTCTGCCTGCATGCAGGTGCTTGTGCGCCTGAACTATGAGTAAGGCGTGGAAGATCCGGAGAACCTGCTTGAAAGGTGCCGTTCCACCTTTGCCATGCATGCAGAGTTGTTTGAAATAAAGAGTAAGTTTGGGAGGGTGGATTGCGGTGAGCTTGGACTCGCATAAGATTTGATCGTGCGTGCATGACTCTATATATACGCAGGATTTTGGAGCGTAGTATATAGACCCTCGATATGCCATGGCTGGACTGCATCCAGACTTTGTGCGTCGTCTTTTATTGATTCGAGCCCCAGGGGTGGCCTAGTTGCACGCATATACTTGATGTCCCCAAGAACGTTTTACACACCATGGGACGCTTCCCCGCATAAGGTCATTCTTTTGATCATCCTCCTTCTGCTTTGGACGGATGGCATCAAGACTAACAAGGCCGTGCCAACATGCCTGTGTTGCAGCTTGCTCCCCCCCAAAATATGAGTCATGGCTTGATGTTGCAG